GGGGGGGGGGGGGGGGGGAAGGAGGCGAAGAGGGGTGTCATACTCCCTCGGGAGCGGAATCTGGGGTGGGGAAAAAAAAGGCTGTGTACCGTGTACACACACGCACACACTCTCGCACCGACCGCCGCCTTCCACCCCGACCGGCACATTGTCTGGCTCGCCAGCTCACGTCGAGCCCCGGCGCAAGATGGCCCTGACCATGCACGGGCCGGCTTTACAGGATGGACGAGGACGAGACCACGCCCGCCGTGCCGGGGGGGGGGGACATGACAGACTGCACCCCGAGCAATCTCCCGCCCGGCGGGTACCCTGCGAGGGGGGGGGGGGGGGGACCAGAGGCTCCCCCTCGGGTCAGGGCAGGGGCCCTCCGGCAGCCGAATGGTCAACACCAACGGGAGTCGGCGATCTCCGGCTGGGTGACGTTGCGTCATGCCGGGGAACGGTGTCGCACACACGGCCGGCGTGCGTCTTCTCGCGCGGGCTGGTGCACCCTGGCCCCCCCCCTCAGCCGATGCAAGCCTCGAAATTGCGCCTGCGTGTTTAATCCGAGTTGAGCGTCACCCCAGGGACATGCTCAGAGAGAGAGAGAGAGAGAGAGAGAGAGGGGGGCAAAGGGAGGGGCACGCGCGTGTCGGCCGGCGCCCAGGCCGCAGGAGCGCGTGTTTCGTTGGCATGTGTCGGGCTGAGGAAGGTCCCCGGATCGGCGGGCGACCTGCCGACCTTCTCCCCGGCCCCCGGGGCGCGCGCGCGCGCGCGCGCGCGCAGGATGTTCCTCACCGCGCGGGGGAAGAGTGCAGGCACATGGACGCGTTCTCGCGCCCGCGCCGGCACGCGCCTGGATGCGAAGGCCCCGGCCCTTCTCCAGGTTGAGGGGAAGGAGCATGGACCGGTCGACGCCCGGGGGGCCAGTTCTTGGAAACACGCTCCAATGACCCGCCTCCGTCATGGCCCAGGCCTGCGCCCCCCTCCCCCCCCCTTTCTGATGGCGGCCAGCCAGCGGCCAGAGGCGCAGGCATCCTCCGAAGCACACGGCTCAGGGCGAACTGTAAACACTCGACCAGACTGGCCCGCCCGTGGAAAGGCTGAGGGGGGGGGGGGGGGACAGCGGGCCCAGGCAAGGCCCCCTCGGGGTCCTCCTCTTTAACGTACGCAGTGGCCGGCCGCGAGGCCTCCAGCCGCCCTCTCTGGCGGGCACGGGGCTCCCCTAATAGGGGGAGTGCTTTGTTCTTCTCACGGGCGACTCCCCCGTGCATATGTTGTCTGTGTGTGTGTGTGTGTGTGTGTGTGCGCGTGCGCACGCGCGCGGACCGCTCGACGACAGCAAGGCACCGCGAAGGCCACCCGGGCGCGAATAAGAGACGCACCCATCCCCTCCGCCAGATCGGGGTGCAGGCCGGGCCGCGCCAGGCCAGATCGTCGCCCGCGCTGCCCGCGCCAGTTAGCCTGCCCTGGGCGGGTTCCGCTCGCCAGGAAACGTATGCCCGCCCCCGCCCATTGGCGCCTGTGTGTCTGGGGCAATCCCCGCCCAAGGGGGGTGGCGACTGGCAAGCGCAGACGCGAAGCAACGTCTCGGCCAAGGACACAAACCGCATGATCACGTTTATGCCCCGCCCCGGTGTGACCTATGTGTGATCCTATTTGGTGCGGGCTTACTAATTCCCCTTGCCGCCGGCCGCCTCCCCGGTCGTGAGCTCCCAACCGTGTGGGCTCTCCCCTGGCTTTGGCTTCCGAGCAGGGTGCACGGCAAGGCGGGCCAGAGCGGCAAAGGGGGGGGGGGGACTGCCAGCGGCAGACGCATGTGGCAGTCAGCCTACGAAAGTCGGGACCTCAGGCCCAGGCATGCCTGGTCCGGTTACACCTGGCCTGGTCCCCCGCCGGGCGTGCCTCGACCGCAGGTGGCACCCCAGATTGCCCCCTCCCCCCCCCCCCCCCCACCATGGAAGCCGGGGGAAAGATCCCCCCCCCCCCGGAAGTCTTACCTCAGCGCAGGATCACCCCACAAATCGCCAGACACAGGGGCCGGCGCGGGGCGCGATGCCCATACAAAGGGGGGCCGCGCGCCTCACGCGGTCCTGGACGCTCAGCCCCCCTTCCCCCCTCCCCCCTGACCAGATCCGTGTTTGCCCTTCGCCAAACACCCCTCAGAATCCGTGCGTCCCTCTTGCTTGGCTGTCCCTTGCGCACCCGCTGCGTTCTCTCTCACGCGCCACGCATCGCTTCGCCCCGGCTACCTGGGCCCGGCCGCGCTCCCTCGATCCTGACCCCGCGTGTGCCCCCCGCGCCAGAGCGAGAGGCATGTTCGGTCGGCGGTTCCTGGCAGCCGGGCTGGCATCGGTCGTGGCCCTGGCGAGCGTTACTGCCATGATTCCCTCCCTCACGGCACAGCCACCTGGCGATGGGAATGGCAGAGAGGCCGATAGCAGCAGCAGCAGCAGCAGCACCAGCGGCTCCGTGCGCCGGTATACTGACCCTCGCCATCCCGCCGCCTCCCCGGCCCCGGCCACCGCCTCTCCCCGGTGGCGCTGCCTCCTTTCCTCTCGATTGGCTGGGCCCTTGGCTTGCTCGGCCGCCCCCGGCCCGGACACGCTTGCTCCCCCTGCGGTGTCCTCTCACGCCTCTCCCCCCAGAACAATGACCAGCCGCATCGAGGACCGCTCCACTGTCCATAAGGTTGCCATCATTGGCTCTGGCCCGGCGTGCGTCTGCCCCATTCTTCCCCCCCCCCCCCTTCGCCCGTTCACCCTCCCCTCCTCTTCCCGCCCACCTTCCCCCTGGCCCAAGGCCTGGGAGGGGCCTTCCCCCGGCATCCGCTCCTCCTCCCTCCCGGCTAACCGTGTTCCCTCCCTCCAAAGCGGCCACACCGCTGCCATCTACACCTCGCGCGCCAACCTGGAGCCCATCATGTTTGAGGGCCTCATGGCTGCCGGCGTCAGCGCCGGTGGCCAGCTGACCACCACCACTGACGTGGAGAACTTCCCCGGCTTCCCCGGCGGCATTATGGGCCCTGTGCTGATGGATCGTCTGCGCGAGCAGTCTGCCTCCTTCGGCACCGAGATCATCACGTACGTGTGTCATTGCTTGGCCCTCCGACCTGGACCCCGGCCCTGCCGCCCTTCGCCCTCCCCCGGTCGCTGTCGGCTTGCAACATGCGCAAACGCCGCACCGGCGAAGGGAGCCAGCACCCGTACTTACACCCCTGTGCGCTGCACCATGCTGAACTTGCGCTCCTGCCCAACCTCGCCCCATCTCCACCCCCCACACTCAGCGACACCGTCTCCAAGGTCGACCTCTCCGCCCGGCCCTTCAAGATCTGGCCCGAGTACGACGAGAACCAGGAGCCGATTCTGGCCGAGACGGTCATCATCGCCACCGGTGCCACCGCCAAGCGCCTGAACATCCCCGGCGAGGATACCCTCTGGATGAACGGCATTTCCGCCTGCGCGGTCTGCGACGGTGCGTGGCCCTCTTTTCCTCCCCCCCCCCCCTCCCATACCTCCGCACCTTTGACTAAGACAAGTGCTTCCTCCCCTTCCCCGTCCACACCCCGGACGCCCCTTGGCGAATGTGCTTGCTCACCCGTCCATTCACACTTGCAATCTCGGGCGGGTGCGGGGGGACCCGGGAAAAAAAAAACACAACAGGCGCCCTTCCCCTCTTCCGCAACCAGCCCCTGGCTGTCGTTGGCGGTGGCGACTCCGCCGTTGAGGAGGCCCTTTTCCTGACCAAGTACGCCTCCAAGGTGTACGTCCTGGTCCGCCGTGATGCCCTGCGCGCGTCCAAGATCATGGCCGACCGCCTGGCCGCTCACCCCAAGGTGGAGATCATGTGGAACTCCGCCGCCGAGTCCGCTCACGGCGAGGGCACCCTCAAGTCCATCACCGTGGTCAGCACCATCAACCCCGAGGAGAAGTCCACCCTGGAGGTGGCCGGCCTCTTCTACGCCATTGGCCACATCCCGAACACCGCCTTCCTTGAGGGGCAGCTGCCGGTCGACTCGGACGGCTACCTGCTGGTTACCCCGGGCTCCACCACCACCAGCATTCCGGGTGTCTTCGCTTGCGGTGATGTCGCCGACAAGAAGTACCGCCAGGCCATCACCGCCGCCGGGACTGGCTGCATGGCTGCCCTGGAGGCCGAGCGCTTCCTCGAGGCCAACACCTCCCATTAATTTCCTTGAGCCCTCCTCTCCTCCCCTGAGGGCATATTGTGCTTCCCCCAGTCAATTCATCGTCCATGCGTGCTTGATCCATCCGGATATTCTCTCGGGCCTCGGGGGGGGGAAGACATTGGCCTCCTTCCTCCCGGCCTCCCGGCCTCCCCCCTGATGTCCTCCCGAGAGAGCATGTGAAATAAAACACAATACGCTCGAGATGTATCCACAGAGAGGGAGAGGGAGAGGGGGAGCATATGACCATTTTGGTATCCCTGCACCTGGCGGCATGGCGCGCCACATGCAACTAAAAAGGATCGCGAGGGAGTGGGCTTTGATTTCTTGGGCGCCGAGCGAGGAGAGCACAGGAGGCAAGAGAGGAAGACAGAGGGGCAGAGAGGGGGGGGGGGGGGGGAACAGGAGAGACCCCAGGCGACACCTCGACGCCCATGGTCAGCCTGTCTCACGGGCAAATGTCGTCGCCCGAGCCGCCGATGTAGCTCGGCAACCGGGACCTGCAGGAATCCAGGGGGAGGGAGCTGGTGCAGCTCAGACCGGAGCACTGACCAGAAGCCAGGAAGATGGATGCACAGGCACGCGAGCAAAAGCGCGGGGAGCCATCGTTCGAGCAGAGGGACTTGGCCTGCTGGAGCAGCGGATCGGTGCAGTCCAGGGGAGCCAGATCCGGGAAGTTGAAGGGCACCCCGAAGTCAAAGTCGAACAGCAAATCAAAGCCGATCTTGAAGGAGGGGGTGGTGCAGATTTGCACGTCGTCCAGCAGGCTCGTCCCGAAGGGAGAGCGCTGGCACAGGAGCTTGTAGTTCATGAGGTTGATGGTGCAGGTGTTGCGACTGTAGGTGCAGCCAAGGGTGTCCACCAGCAGATTCTGGCAGGTGGAGTTGCAAATGGCCGCCTTGTCGTACAGACAGTTACGGACGAAGTCGAAGCGCTTTTGCACGAGGGTCGACGTGGTCCCGGGGCAGAGGGGGTCGAAGGCGGCCGAGACCACGGTGGCCAACAGGGCGAGGATGGCTTCGAGTGCACGGGGGTGGGGGAGGATGAGCAATGAGAGAGAGACGAGCCCCAGGAGGAGGGGCACAGGGGGAGGGAGAGAAAGAGAGAAAGAGAGAGAGAGAGAGGGAGGGAGGGAGCGGGAGGGAGAGAGCGGGAGGGAGCGGGAGGGAGAGAGCGGGAGGGAGAGAGCGGGAGGGAGCGGGAGGAGGGGAACGCACCCGCAAACAGCAGAGGCAAGCGAGACATGAGTAGGTGGAGGAGAAGAGGCGAGCGGCGGACACAAAGGAGCAGGACAACAATGGCGGGGAGCCGTGGCCGAAGCTCCGGAACACGAAACAGGGAGTGGGGAGCTTTTTTTTCTTTTTTTTTTCTCCCCCCAGTCGCGGGTCCCCTGGGCCAATCATCGCATCGGCCGCGCGAAATAATGGAACGCCCGCCGGCCAGAGGCACCAGCCGGGCTTGCAGGCATCCGTGAAGTCTTGAGGACAGACGGTGCGGGGAAGTGGGCCTGCCTCCAAAGAGGAATGCGCGCCAACTGCAGGCGCCTTCCACGCTTGGGGGGGGGGGGGGGGGGAGCAGGAAGGCCTGGATCCTGGCGGCACCGCTGCTGTCCGGTGGAGCCTTCTGCCGGGGGTGAAAGCGAGAGCAGGGGGGGGCTCACCGGCAGACGGCTCGGTCATGATGAACCTTTTCCCCATCGGGAAGCCGGAGGTCCCCGGTTGAGCGGGATCTGCCAACCATGATCCATGCTGCCAGTGTGTGTGTGCTCTGCCCCCAATTCACCGGTGTTCTGGAATATGCGCTTAATCATATTGCCCGGTTAAGCTCGGCATGCAGTCTGGTGCCTGAGGGCGCCGCTTCGGATTTGGGGCCAACAGCTCCACCAGAAGCTGGACCGAAGAACGTTGCACGTGCCCCACCTCGAGCCCAATAAAGAGCCAGACCACAATGCGGCATCTTTCCGCGAGTCAGGACGCGTCCCTCGGGAGAGGGAGAGAGAGAGAGAGAGTGAGAGACCATCAGGAGCGCCTTCCTCCGCCTTCCACAGACCCAGCTGGACGGAGTTGCTGGTCTTCCCAGCGCCATCGGTGCTCGGGTCCCTCCCCAAAGAGGAGGCGGCTGCTCATTTGTCCTGGTTTCGCTCCGCTGTCTCCTCCTGAACATACCCCATCTTGGTCGTGGCAGATTCTCGCCCTCTCTCTCTCTCTCGTGCCCTCCGAGTGGATCGACTTTCTCCGGGGAAGGAGTCCCGCCCTTCTCGGCCTCGATGCACGAACACCGAAGGGGCGGTTCAAGTCCTTCACATAATTGAAGCGCTCGGACTGATTCACCGAGGCTTGTTCTCCGATATGGAGATCACACCTCGGAAGGAAGCATTTCGTCTCGAGAGGCAGGCAAGCGATGACAATAAAGCGCGCGCGGTCTTGTTGGGGAGGCAAAAGTATTTACATCAGAGGCTACTGGCTTCGGGGGGGGGGGGGGAAGAAAGCCAGACCAAGGAGGCAATGACTATCCTTTCTAGGGGAGTCGTACATGGGAAAGAGGGCGCGGATACCGTCCCTGATATAGGGGTTGGGCGTATGGGAGAAGGAGCACCTTGCCCCTCTTCCCTGGGCGCCGAGGGAGGGGGCGGCAGGGCGGGGCGAAGGTCTGTACATGGAGGCGCGGCTCTCCCCAAGAGGAAGAGGATCCGACTTCTCAGTTACGGTCACGTGGCGGCCCGTGGCCAGTCCTGGGATTTGGGCGGAGAAGGTTACAGAATTGAAACACTCCGGTTCTGGTGCGTGATTCTGGGGGACTGGTGAGGGCCTTCCCTGATCCACCCAGAGTGTTCCGTCCCGAGAGGGCCACCACTCGGACGTGGACACAACAACAAAGGAAAGGAAAGCTGGTGATCGGCGTCTTTATAGGGAGTACATCAGGGACTGGGTCACACCGCTCCAGAGGAGCGACGTACAGAGGCAGGGCAACGGGAAGTCAAGGCCTCCGTTTGGAGGATGACCATTCTTCAAGGTGCTGTGCCCTTGGAGGAGAGGCGGGAAAAGGGGGCCGTTATATAGGGGTGCCCGGAAAAGAGGGAATCCATGGGGAAGAAGGGGAAAACGAGAGGGAATGGGTTGCATCGTGGACGGGCGACGCTAACACCCACCTACGGGGAAAGGGAGGTGGAAAATGGATCTCCCGGCTATGTGATCACGCGGAGGACGTGACCAGATTTGGCGGGGAGGCGACAGTAGGGGAAGACAAAGCAGGGCGAGGTGAGGCAGGTGCGGAGGAGGCGAGCGGAGCGAAGTTCCGACGCGGCGTCGGAGGTGACATTATGGTTAGACAAATAGATGCGTCACGGCGCTCCCGCTACCCCATGGTTGAGTGGTGTAATGGTTATCACGGCAGACTCTGAATCTGTCAATCCGAGTTCGATTCTCGGCTCGACCTTTTGCACGCGGCGCGGCGAAAAAGCCCAGGGAGAGAGAAGGGGAACAACGTTCGGGGGGGATAGAAGGCCGAGGGTGTTGCACACGCGGCAGGCAACTGCCCAAAAAGAATGCTCCCGATCCGGGAATTGAACCCGGGCCTCCCGCGTGACAGGCGGGGATTCTCACCACTATACTAATCGGGACTCCCATGGCTACCGGCGCCCACGCCAGCCTCAAGTGCCTGGCGCTTCAGGCCGCCGGGCGCCGGCCCCGCCCGA